AATTTTAACTTATTGTAATAAGCAAAAGCACAATAATTTCAATAAATCATACTATGTTTTTCTGGTCCTGACTGAACACATTGTTGATTGCTTTGATTATCTAATGTATGTGATGGTACAATCTGTTGAAGTATTGTCAAAATTAAATCAATCTTCTGTTCTTGTCGAAGAAGAACCGATTCAATTTTTGCATCTGTTTGTTCTAATTTTCTGACAGCTGTTGAAAGTGATTGCATCATTTGCGCTTAATGAAAAAGAAAAGTTGTTAGCACAGTCCTTACAGAATGAAAATATGGGACACAATGCAGTTGTTGTTGCTAATCATAATGCGATTGTTTTATGCTATCTGATTTAAAACATATTACTTCACTATTCTTTTATTCAATCCTTCATAAATGCAACAAGTAAGTATTTCGTATATTATAATGAGACATTATTGATATATGGTCTTTGATCATATATTAATAGTGTCTGTGACACTTTTCTTCTAGATCATGTTTCACAAATAGCAACAACTGTAACCTAAGCAATCTAATATAAATGCATATTTACTCAAATAATTTTGATTTAATGATGTATCACAATCTATATATAAAATAAAATTAATCTGAACATATATTTTCATTATTGTCATAGATATTTACTATTCCACGAGTTCATTGGAATGCTTGATGATTGTAATTCACAATTTAAATTATGTTTAACTGTATTTTCGATATTATACTTGTCAGTTACTAGTGGATTTGGGATATTCAATTGACTTGGACAGCCTAAATTACATATATAACATCAATGTTTATTTCATCATAGGTTATTAACTCACCATCAGGATTTAAGAAGATATCATATATATCGTTCTCCCTATAAAACAAGTAACGTTCGTCGGTTCGACTCACTTAACCCTCGACTGTTTAAGACAGAAGTATATTCCGCGTTTGTTGTATGGAAAGAATTGGTCTACGAGCTTTATCACAATAACTGACTGAGATCTCGATTTCTTGAATCATAAAAGTCAAAGAATTTGATTGGCCATTTTGTAAAATAGCTCAGAATAAAGCTTACTTTTCAGAAATAGATTGTAAAAGCTAGCAATTCTTTATCAAACTGCACTTTAACTAATAAATATCGGAAGCAAAATAAATGTTATACTGTTACACACTAGTAGCATGATAAAATAAGCCGATTTTAGTTGGTAATATGTGTTCATACAGTAATTAAGAAACTTGACACTAAAAGTCCTATGTTTACGAACAATATGCAACTATAAATGATTCATTGGTAATGATGAGAATGTGAAGGAATCGGAAAATGTAAATAACTACTCAATATCATTTTATTATGTGATAAAAAAAACAAAAACTACAGCATAAAAATTCATTATCAAGAACTACCAAAGTGGATAGAATATATGTAAGAAAAATGTGCGAGAAAAAGATGTAAAATGCAAAAAAATTAATAGTAGAAATATAAAAAGTTTAACATGAACTACATATGGGAGATTATAAGTGTAAACAATCATACGCAAAATTTCGTATAATATGAAGAAGACATTAAAACCACTCAAAAAAAACGCTTTTGTGTTTCTGAATATAGCTTATCTAGTCTTTCTATTTCGGCAAGTTGAGATTTACTTGGTTTGATTAATAAAACCTTGTAATCAAAATGTCGCAAAATGATCAGATCGGCTAAGTGTTTAACACGTGACAAAGGTACATAAATTGCAGCAATATCATCATTTTCATTTGGCAATTTTAAATCGATTACAACTTTATTCAAAGTTTGACCTTGACGTTTATGTGTCGTAATACAATAAGCAGGTACAAGTGGTAATGCACGTCGCTTAATCGATAAAATTGCCTTTTGATTTGATTTTGATCTTTTGGAAGAATATCAGCAATATCAATACGAAATGTTTGTTCTATTAACGGTATTGGAACGAGATTTGATTGAAGTTGTTCAAGATTACATTCAATCTTCGATTTGACAATTTCAACTAATGCATATGAAGGTTTATGAATGTATTGTGTGTTGTTTGGAAATGTTTCCGAAAGAACTTCTGTTGACACAAAATCTTCTTCGTAGACCAGTTGTCGAAAGATTCCATTCATTCCATTAATAAGACCCAATTCAATAGCAACGTTTTGTGTTAAAATAACAGGCATTCCAGGAACAAGAGGTAACAAACCTGGTAGATGCTCTGTTTTGCTATCGGATAATTCTAGCAGCTTTTTAACGAGTGTCGGATCTTCAATTGGTTTGCCTTTGCAAGTGTCCTGAGCGACACATACAATTGGTGCTTGTCCCATTTCTGCTGCCTTGTGAATTGCTGCTTTGTTGTTCAATTGCGTTCGTACTTCATTTTGAAACACAAGAATCGGTGCCTAAAAAGACAAAAATAGGAAATTATTGGTAATGGAAAGGAAGATTTACTTTATTCCAAGGTGAATCACGTAGAGAGCCTACTGATGATTGTCCAACAACTCGTGTTAACAATAATTCATAATCATCGTAATTACATTATCCATGACGAAGTCGTTCAAGTAATTGGAGGGTACCGTGGATCTTCTGTTCGCATTTGTTGAGTAAGTTTTACCACACAATTAATTTGAAGAATTAAAGAACGTGCAACACGTTGTCGAATTTCTTTTTCTGTGGGTAGTTTACCCGATTTCTTTTTGGATGGTAATGAAAAATCGGTATGCAATGGTGCATCATAAACAGGCCGATATTGTAAATAGTCACCGAAAAAGATAACATTTACACCGCCAAATGGCACCTGTGGATCGACATGTTTTGCAGAGCAAATGATTCGATTGAGTTTTGCCAGTAAATTTAAACCAACCATACTCATTTCATCGATTAATAAGTATTCGACGAGTCTCCATTCTTTTTCGAGTTTTAAATCACCTGGCTTGATAGTTCGTGGCTTTCCGGAATTACGTTGTTCACCCAAAAATGAATGAATTGTCATACCACCTATTTCAGCAGCAGCAATTCCAGTGGGTGCAAGCTTTCGCATCATTTGCATTCTTTTCGTAACAAGAAAGTATTTGCTGAGAGCACGAATAAGTTGTGATTTGCCTGTACCGCCACATCCAGGTATGCACATTATAAGTTGACCATTATTATCACCTGAAAATACTGTATACTTCAATTCCTGATAAATTAAGTTATAAAGGTACCTGTTCGACATCGGCTGTCCCCATCAAGATGGCTTGTTATTATCATGAATGCAGCTCGTTGTTCTCTATTTAATGTAAATTCATCAGCGATGCTTTTTTGAGCGGGAAAGTTGGTTGCGACTGAAACGACTGGAAGAATTGAGCCATAGTTTTCAAAATTGTTTTTATTATAATTATTTGGATTCACCACTGGTACAACAGCATCTTTTGCAGCATGTAAATCTAATGTATCATCTGCATTGCCGTAGTTGCCTGTAATTAAACTTTTTCTGACTCGTTCTTTTTCAGTCTTCAATTGTTCTTGCCATTTTGTATTTAATCGAATAAGATTTGGTGTCGCAGAAACGAACGGTACAAGTTGTTGATTCACATAATCAATAGATTCATTTGAAGAAGATTGATAATGAGCTACAACATATTTTACATATTCATTTTCAATTTTAACTGACTAATCATCTTTAAACAAGACTTACTATTTATATGACTAAATCGTCCGACATTTTTGACTGCTTCAATAGTTTCTTCAATATATTTATCTTCTGTTGATTTTTTGGTGGTATTAATTGCTACAGTTGTGTGTTCATCTATATTGCCTAGTAATTCTAATAAGTCTTCACTATCGTTCATATCATATTCACCATCAATATCTTGATTTGTAGGTAAAAGAACAGGATCGATTGCATCATTATCAGTTTGCGCTTCAGCAATAACTTGGAGTAAATGCTCGTCGCGATCTTTTTTACATTCATGTAAAAGCTGAATATTTTCTATGATCTTCCATGAATGAATAGAAATACGATTTTGTCGAGATTTAAAAGCATCTTCCCATATTTGATTGGCACCACAAAGATCAGTAACGGTGCGCCAAGGTACGAAAAGTGTGAGAAGAGCTCGACTATATCGTTCTTGAGTATCGTCACGATCCCGTCGAGGAATTTGTGGACCATACAGAATAGGTACATGATGTTCACTGTATTTCATCAATAGATGTGTTGTCATTTGTGGGTGCTGTTTTTGGAAGGGATAGCGTTCATTGGGTGGTCGGCCTTTTTGATTAATATTCTCTTCGACCAATGCTGCAGTCTTGGATAAATATTTCAGATCTGTTGCGTTCATTTTTTTCTTATATAATGTGCTGACAAAATCATATAAACATATGTTGTTGAGAATATCGGAGCGATATTGATAATCAATTCTTGTATTAACGAGTACATATTTTTTATCGTTTTCAGTCGATTGAATTTGAAAATGTTCTTCGTCATTGTTATCATTATCAATAGCTTCATCATCATATACATTATCGTCAATTACATCTGAATAAAAAAAAACAATATATAATGGTTATTATTTAATGATAAGATTTCATTTCAAGCAATCTTCACTGTTTTTCATTCACATGTGTAGTAGAAATAACAGTCAGAATATTTTTCTGTTGTACAATTTAAGATTTGAGTAACATCAAATAGAACGTTTCGACGACACAAAGATGAAAGAAGAAAAAAAAATATCGTACTGATTCTCTGTATGACATCATCAGGAAAAAAAGATATATACATATATATAATGAATACCACTATTACAGGTATAACGATAGCAAAATATATTTTCGATGAATAAAATAACCATTAACTTACTTTTTAGAGATAAGTTCTTCTCACGTCTTTCTTCCTCTTCTCATTCTGTTTTATCATTAGTCCTTTTATCATAATTACTACAAATGCATTCAATGAAAAAACATACTGACCTTGCATTGAACTTTCGGATTTTTGTTTGGAGCGTATTTCATTCAACTGCATTTGCAAATACCGTTCGGTTTGAATTAGATAAAGACCTTGAAACTTGTGTGTTGTGTAATGATCATCCCAGTTCATGAGATAAGAAGCAACTTGAACTCCAGATAGTTCTTGTTGAGAAGCAAGTGTATTGTAACATCGTAAAACGAGCTTCCGTGATTTTTCAATTGCATCTTCTTTGTCTGTTTGATGCGATGAATTCATAATTGATGTAATACTTTTTTGTACAAGAGCAAATGTATCATGAAAAGAGAGGCTCATTTTTGTTACATAATCGGTAATATAATAAACAAGAGCTTTTGCATCGCTACCACTCCAAATAAATTTAATATCCATGTTGGACCGACAAGCCGCAATAAGGTATTCATTAAAATTATTGATCCATGGATCTGATCGTCGCATAGAAATACGGCCAGTATCAGGATCAATTGTCGAGACTGGCACCAATTTGCGTGGCATAAGCAATCGACAAATTTTCTTGTCACCTTGTTTAGGATCACAATACTTGTAACATGTGTCAGTATGCTTGTGCTTGTTGTCTGTTTCCACAAGTTGTACCACATCTGCACGAAAGCGTGCTGCAAAATTAGGCGATGATGGATTTGGAGTAGGTAAGCAAGCTGGATTTATGTTTGATTGATTGTGTAAAACATTCATAACTAAAATATGATCTATACTTTATCTTTTTTATTACTTCTATTTCTTACTAGATGTTGGTCGATCATGTGTTGGTGTCTGTAACGATTTATTCAATAATGGAGAAGCATAAGGAATTGATGGAGAAAGTTGTTGCTTGATTGGTGTCGACCAAACAGGAGATTTATTTATATTTTCGGCTAGACCTGTTAAATCAATAGTACGTAAAGCCGCATAGATATTATCTTGTGATAATCGTGGAGGAGTATCGAATGATCTTGGCACTATAATATAAAAGCAGAAGATGATATTCAAATAAAAACAAAATGTTTTATACCGTTTAAATTCTCAAAGACTTGTTTGTCCTTGAATTCATCTGAGTCTTCTTTGATGATGTCTTCTAAGTATGCTTTTAACTTATCACGAAAATTGACATCTTGAATTTTTTCTTTCATATCGGCTGGTTTCATATCATGGTCAAGCCAAATAAGGAGATACAAATGAAGTGAACCTCGGCCTTGACTTTCAACAGTACCGAAATAAGCCTTTATTGGTCCAAGAACACCACCAATAATCATTGTATTTAAGATATTGGAAATCAATAAATGAAAAAATTTTGCAGTAGCAACTGGATGAGATGCTATAATTTCAGCTCTTTTGTAAGTATCCATAAGTTGTTCGTTTTGGATATTGTCTAGATTAAGTTTAACGCCCGCAAAGTATAATGCTACGGGACTGTGGATATCGGCTGGATTTAAAGTAAGAAATATGCTGGGCAGCCCTTGGTTACAGATAAGTGCATGAATTCGGGTACGTAAAGCCGTTCGTGAATATGCTGAACCCATAACTCGACCACCAACAGTTTTAATATATTGCAGCAGTTTGTTTAATGCATTGTTTGATTCTGAATTGTATGTTCTTTTAGAATTGTTGTCAAGGGCTGTTTCAATATCTTTACTATTCAAAGATAGAATTTCATCAGCAGATGCTTGAAAATAAGGTTTTGTTGCTATTAATTGAGCATGAACGCAGGCATCACGGCGTTGTAATAAATTGAAGACCACAAATAGAAAACTGTGATTTGTTTCAAAACGACGATCGTTGTAAGATAATAGATAACGTATGTGTTCTTTTAATTTTATCTGAACTGGACGTGATTGATCTTCAGGTGCTCCACGTCCATAACAGAATAAAGTTGGATATAGACCTGTTAATAATTTTGGATTGAAATATTCATTGACAGGTTTCGATGAATGAGGGATTAAGTAAACATTTTCGATATCCATCTGATCCTTGTTTTCATTATTTTTAATTTTGTGCAACAAATAGTTAGCAATTTCCTCTGAAGATACTGATGCGCCATTGACATCGAGAACACCACTAGAAGAAAAAAGATTATCATACAACTGATTAATTAATGAGCTATATTCATCATTCGCTTATACGACACCACTGAGCAAAAAAAATAGTACCTAAAAAAAGAGAATATGTTGTTACAAACGACCTCTTTTTTTTTTAATCTTCTTTCTCTTTTGCTCTCTCTTCGAGAAGTTATTTATTATTCACCAATGGCAACATCTTATTTCTTTCACTTTCTAATTTCTTTGATGTTTTCTCCGCCTTTTTTCATCAATGTGAATAAGCTATGGTGTTGCAAAAAAGATAAATATATATACATTCTATAATCACAATCATATAGAAAACAAATCGAACATAATATGTGTTTATATTAACTCTTTCAATCTCGGCATTTTCTTGCGTTTTGCATGAGCACGAAAAAAAATATAATTTAATCTCCCTCTCTTGCATTCAGTAATCATAATTATATGTGTTCGAAATCTAAATTGATTATTTATAGCTATATGAATTGATTTTCCTTTGAACATGTCATATGATATTCATCGTATAAGAAGACGAAAGAACGCAAAAGAATTCTTTTTTTGTTCTGTATATCATTTCGTAGATGACATGGGGCATCGAAAGAGTTAATATATAATCTGATAGATAATATAACAGATTCACTCGCATGTGCAAATTTGTACGTTATTGTGAACAGAAAGAGAACAATCTATATTAACTGAATAAAGTAGAATAAAATAATCTTCATGTATACTTGAAACAAGCTTTAATGACAAAAAAATGTATTTTAACCAACAAAAAACATTGAAAAGGAACAATGGAGAATCAAATAGCTTTAACAAAGGTTCGTAACAAATCATAAAAAGGCATAGACGTAAAACCAATTATGAGAACATATGATTTGTTACCAATAAAAACCCACTATTTTTACTTCAAGTCTCTTTTGCCAGAAATGAAGAACAACTTAATCTTTCTTATTTTTTAAAATATTTTTTATCTGTTAAAATACTTTTTTTGTCATTAAAGTTTCTTTCAAGTATATGTGAAAATTATTTTACTCCATTTTATTCAGTTAATATAGATTGTTCTCTTTCTGTTCACAATAACGTACAAATTTGCACATGCGAGTGAATCTGTTATATTATCTATCAGATTATATATTAACTCTTTCGATGCCCCATGTCATCTACGAAATGATATACAGAACAAAAAAAGAATTCTTTTGCGTTCTTTCGTCTTCTTATACGATGAATATCATATGACATGTTCAAAGGAAAATCAATTCATATAGCTATAAATAATCAATTTAGATTTCGAACACATATAATTGTGATTGCTGAACGCAAGACAGGGAGATTAAATTATCTTTTTTTTGTGCTCATGCAGAACGCAAGAAAATGCCGAGATTGAAAGAGTTAATATAAACACATATTATGTTCGATTTGTTATCTATATGATTGTGATTATAGAATGTATATATATTTATCTTTTCTGCAACACGGGTGCCTATCTTTTGCCCTAAATTCTGGTCCCCAGATTCGTCCCTATATCGTGTCCCCATTTAGGGACAATTAAACAATTATGGTCAATTCTGGTGACCAAATAGGGACTTTTATTTAGGAACTTTTCAATTTAGGGACTATTTTTTAAATATAAGATATGGCACACATATCAGCACCGGGCACCTCAATATCCATGCTAGTCTCTATACATGTTTCGTATTGTCATTAACTGAAGATCTGCTATCCTAATGTAAAGCATCGTGATATCATATCTGGTGACCAAATTCAAAATAACATACAGATGTTATTCTCATGTAATGCATTGTGATATCAAATCTGGTGACCAGATTCAAAATAGCACACAGATATTATTCTCATGTAATGCATTATGACATCAAATCTGGTAACCAGATTTAAAATAGTACGTAGATTTTATCCTAATGTGATGCACTGTGATGTCAAATCTGATGACCGGATTCATAAAGCACAGCTCTTATTCTAATGTAAAGCATTGTAATGTCAAATCCGGGGACTAGATTCAAAACACCATACAGACGTTTAATTTTTTTGTCTTTTTTT